GATTTACACAGCGCTCGGTTCGCAAAGCACTCTTCTCCCTGGACGTCAGCAAGTCGAGTGGGCCCAATGGAGTCCCTCCCATTGTGCTGAAGACGTGTGCTCCGGAGTTGGCACCGGTTTTAACGCGTCTTTTCCGGTACTCCTACTCCCAAGGCGTAGTCCCGAATTCATGGAAGACAGCTTTGGTCCACCCGATCCCTAAAAAAGGCGACCGCTCAGACCCGTCCAACTACAGGCCTATCGCCATCACCTCCTTGTTCTCCAAAATAATGGAATCCATTATAAACTGCCAGCTCATGAGGTACCTTGAGGATCACCAGCTGATCAGTGACCGTCAGTACGGTTTTCGTCGGGGTCGATCAGCAGGTGATCTTCTAGTTTACTTAACTCATAGATGGGCGGAGGCAGTAGAGTCCAAGGGGGAGGCATTGGCCGTTAGTTTGGACATAGCGAAGGCCTTCGATCGGGTCTGGCACAAGGCGCTTCTTTCGAAGCTTCCTTCCTATGGGCTTCCCGAGAAATTGTGCAAATGGATCACCAGTTTCCTTGCTGATCGGAGCATCAAGGTCGTAGTAGACGGTGCATGCTCTGATTTCAAGCCTATCAACGCTGGTGTTCCACAATGCTGCGTACTATCACAAACGCTGTTTCTCCTGCATATCAATGATATGTTGCTAACTGGTAGCATTCATTGTTATGCAGACGACAGCACTGGGGATGCCTTATATACCGGCCGTGCCAATATTTCTCGGGAAAACGTCGCCGAGTACCGGGACAAACTTGTGTCTGAAGTCGAGTCTTTGCTTAACAAAGTCTCGGATTGGGGCCGACCAAATCTAGTCCAGTTCAATCCCCAGAAGACACAAGTTTGCGCGTTTACCGCCAAAAAGAACCCCTTTGTCGTATCTCCTCAGTTTCAAGGCACTCCCCTTGCTGCCTCAGCCAGTATCGAAATCCTTGGCGTCGACATATCGAATAGCGTGCAGTTTCGTGGTCACTTGGAAGATAAGGCCAAATTGGCCTCTTAAAAGCTTGGCGTGCTCAGCAGAGCGAGACATTATTTCATGCCGGCACATCGCTTGCAACTTTACAAAGCGCAAGTTCGGCCCCACATGGAATACTGTTCTCATCTCTGGGCCGGGGCACCCCAGTGCCAGCTCCTTCCACTTGACCGCATCCAGCGCAGAGCGATTCGAATCGTCGACGACCGAGTTCTTTCTGATCGGCTCGATACACTGGCACTGCGTAGAGATGTTGCATCTCTTTGCGTATTTTATCGCATCTATCACGGGGAGTGCTCTGAGGAATTGTTCGGACTAATTCCAGCCGCTCAATTTCACCATCGCACGTCACGACACAACTCGCGTTACCATCCATACCATCTGGATGATTGGCGGTCCACCACTGTGCGATTTAGAAGTTTTCTCCCTCGCACAACTTCTTTGTTGAATCAATTACCACCAGCGAATTTTCCGAACCGATACGACTTAGGAACCTTCAAGAAAAGAGCTTACACGTTTCTAAAAGGCCGGCAACGCATCTGCAATTCCCCTGGTGTTGCGGTTGTTCATGGGCGGCGGTAGTCACTTACCATCAGGTGGGGCGCATGCTCGTTTGCCGCATTCTATAAAAAAAATATAATCTTCCCCATCCCAGAAGACAAACGCCATTATTTTTTTAACGGACTCAGATGCATTAAATCATTTGGCTGGCGGGGAAGAAGATATTTTCCTCACCTTGCTTTGGAGTCAAAATATTGTACCTACCAGCGTGTCATTTACGCTTACGAAACAAGCGCAAAAATCTGAATATTCTTCAATTATTGCTAAATTTAGTTTAGCTTTGAAATGTTGAGAAACCTAGCGCACGGCCACCTTTTTGAATTTTATGGTATGACTTAAAATAAATTAAATTGTCCCAAACGAAATCTTTAGAATCTCAGCTAAATAATGGATAGTCACACGTCGATCTATCTTAATATTTTCAAATTGATGTTTAAAAAAACCCAATCGTACACCCATTGGTTTTTAATTTTGTTTTTCCTAGCTTTGGCTACTAACGAAGTTAAGATTCGACAAGTGTTCTATTCCGTAAACTTATTGATTAACCTAATAAACTCTTTGGCAATCATGATCAAGCGCACCATAACATCAGGAATTAAAAAGTTAAGAAATGTGTAAATTACTTACTACCCTATTATCTCTAATGGACTATAGGGTTAGGACTAAAGGAGGATATTATGTTAGTAATAAAATAAACAATATTTCAAAAACATTTGGGCATTGGTCAAAGTACTCGTCTACTATCGCGCGAGTCCTCAGTTCCGAGTCAGTTCCAATCATCGTCAACATTTGTGGGAAAACTAATCGTTAATTTTCGGATCTGATTTTGCAGTACATGCTAGTTTTTTTCTGGTATTATTGTTTGAGTGTTAAATTGAGGGTATAGGAATGTAAAGACGAGTAGATCACTGGACAGTTGCGCATACACTTGTGGCGCTGTACGATTGTGTTTTAAGGTGGTCCAAGGGCCACCATAACCGCACTTTGACCTACTGTCGCTGATATTACGTTAGATACGTTTTTCCGTATTTTACAAATTTAACAGTACAGCTAAATTTAACCAACTACTGCTGGTCGCTAGGTGTAACCGCACTTCGGCTAAAAGCCGTAACACATACATAACATAGCAGCAGACGGTATTTCATGCAGGCTTGCATGTAGGCTGGATCTATGGAGGACACCCAGCTTTTTCGATGTCTGAACTGGGCTACAAAAAGCTTTCCTTTTTAGCGACTGCTGAATTGTACGTTACTCGATGCATCGACACTGGGGATTCAGTTACCGGCTGATGTTCTTTTATCAAATAAGAAAAGCAATTTTAAACATTTTTAATTAATTTTATTGGTGGCAGTGGTCACTCACGGGCGGCGATAGTCACCATCAGGTGAGCCGCATGTTTTGCCTCTCTATACAGGGTTATTTTGCAATAACCGGTCAAATTTGCAGAGAAGGTTCAGAACAAGTAATATAAGCAAATGATAAAGAAAAATTAATAAAAAAATCTAACATTGTTTTTTGTTTTAAATTCAAAATGCGTGGTAATGCATTATTTTAACCGATTTTACTGCGCACGCACACATTTGTACGGGTCGATCGGTAGGCAAATACCTATGTTGTTGCCTATGAATCACATTCCATTTAGGACAATTTAGAAGCCATAATTACTCGTATTTTCATTATTTATATATATTTGAACTAAGTTTAAAATTTGGCTTCTCGTTAAAAGATAACCCTGTATACAGAAATAACTTCATCAATGACCTTAAATATTTAATTTTCCTTAAGCAGTTTAGGCAGTCGCCAACTTAGAAGGCGGTGTCCTCCTTTCACGTCGCATCCCCCGCATTATCGTCTCTAAAACACGGAAGTTGCTTTTAGGGCGAAACTGTTTCTGAATGGTGACTTAATGCAATGAAGACTATATTAAAAGCGCATTTTGTGAACAAGATGCACAGAAAAGTGTAGAAACCAGTGTATACAACTTTACAATACAGATAGGACAGGTTATAGTAGGATAGGATAGGTATAGGTCAGATTAAAAAAATACTTAACAACGTCTATGACAGGTTTTAATCCAATATCAGTTGAACTCTATATAAGTCCGACATAATTTCTGTAAACTGTCATTACGAAAAATTAAACACCTACTAATCACTCAGTGTTGAAAATTCACCATCTGCACAGCAAACTTTTACAATTTGATTTCAGATTTAATTAAGCATTTCCCTGGTTTCCTGAGGCAAGTAGATTTTAAGGAACAATTACTCCTATTCTTAGAAATCAGTATTTTAAAACATTGAAATCAAAAAAAATGTGCACCAGCAAATTATTATCTATGTAAAATAAAAATTATGTTATAATGTTGCACTAGCGCTAAATAAATCTAATTGTTTTCAAAATCATAAACGAAAAGGCACTTTAAAAATTAAGGTGGGGGAGATAATAGTAATAGGATAACAACATCTATTGAAAAAGGTAAAATGGAAATATCATTTATAAATCAATTTTCTCTCGTCACACTGTTGTTTCACTTAAAAATATAAAATACTTTAAGTTTTATTTTAGAAAACATATATATATGTATGTACATATATTCAAAAATAACAAGGAACAATCTAATCTTGCTAAATCTATAGAAATTAATACAAAATTAGTACTTAACTTTGTCCAATTATTTTTTACATAATGATTTAGATAGATTGGTAGTAACTATAAGTTTCATATATAATGTTAAAACAATCATTTTAAAAATTGTAATATAAGTACATGGAGCAATATGGAACTCAATGCCACGAGAGAATTCATTCACATTTGAATAAAAAAATGTATATAAAATGTCCACACCTCATGTGATTACAATTTAAATTTAATATATAAAAGTTATACAAGTCTCCACTAACATTTCCGACACTGACGAATGCGGGATAGTTCTAACACTACACTCAGCGACGTAATGTATATTGATGTTAACTTCACCAGTCCCTAATCTAAGGATCAACTCCTCTCACCACAGAATTTTCTAGTTATAAAATTACCTTTTTTATTGATTCAGTCCACGAATTTGAAATAAAGTCCACAATTTCACACGAAATCATGTGCTATGGAAACACATGAATTTATTGATAATTAATTAATGTTCTGTTCACTAGCAGTTTGTTTGATAAAACGTTTGTCCAGTACAAAATATTATTTAGCACATTTTAATTTGTTGAAAGTTTTTTCGTTAGTAAAGCACTGTTTAAAACAATTAATATTCTATGTTATACAATAATTGTCCAGGTTAGAGCGCAATTGGTCGCAATATTGCAGGATTGATTCCTCCTTCAATATGTCATTAAACATACACTTGAACTGTTGCGATACCAATAGTTTAACTTGAGTACTATTTATCTATGGAGAGAAGCCAGTCCTTGAATTGTTCTCACACACCATGTACAATCAGTTACGCGGCCGCCCACGGCCTCGCGATCCATCTCTATCCTGAAATTAAAACAAGCTTGACATTCAATGAGCTTTATTAAATTGTAGTAAGAAAACAAAACATAATTAATATGAATTACACATTAAACATAATTTAGAAGCGTTGTCTTTGACCCTGAGGAAATTGATTAAAGAAAACGGTGATGAAACTCAAACATTCAGTGGAAAGAGAAAAGAGTTAATGATCCGAAAAATTAGCAAAAGATTAGGTAGGAATAGATTTATTCTATAGCACTGTCATACTTCAAATCAACATCAGAAGTTGTCAACAGAGCAAGATACACAATAAAATTAAAGATTGGGTTATACAGGAATTACGTGGATTTTATGTCACTTCCTTTATTTAATTGGCACAGTTTGTTAACACCACCATCGACCTTATGAAAAGTTATTTTACAATATCATGTTTAAAAATTTCTAAAACAAAATAAAATTTCTGTACCTAAAATACATACAAAGTAGTTGATATTTTTTTAATAAAATTAATAAAAGGTACATATACATATAGTTGTATCATTTTATTGTATGGAACCTGTCACCCCCTGTATATGCAACCTTACCTGCATCCATTACAGCCTATTAAAGTTCAATGCTGAACATAGTCCTATCCCATAGATGGGCTCATAGCCTATATTTTGTCTAAATAGCCATGCTATTTTTTATTAGTTTGAGTTGTTATTGGGAAGATGCTGCTGCCTATTTCGTTTATTCTCGCTCTATCACCTCTTATGACACCCACAGGGTGATATGGGAATGCCAACATCCACACCAGGTTGAATGCACCTATACATGTGGTAAACAAAATAATGCTGAACATGATAAAACCATTGGTTTGTATATAAAAAAAAAGGAAGTGATTTTTTTCAATCGTCATTAAGGCTGATTAAAATTACTATGGGACCACGGAGGAGGAACACTTTTTTACTTTCAGACTTTTAAACTATAGACGTATTGTTGTTTAATAACAATATTAAGATAAGTCAATGGTTAAGACAATGCCACTCATCTTATTGTACCATACTTACCATATTCACTGCAATTACAATAAGGTATAAATTTAGCTGCGGTGGTAGAGATACAGGAACATTCATTAAACAACCAGAGTCATCGACAATTATTCATGTTATGGCCTCACTGAGATTCGAACCTTAAACCCGCGAAACAGAAGCTTGATGATGATAATGTCTCCAGCAGATTAATCACAGTAAAAATTATAATAGCATCAGAAGTTGGAGATAGTGTTATAAGTGCATGAATTTACATAGAGACACCTACTCGTACTAGGCTAACTGTGACTGATGTAATGTTTATATGTTAAAATAAATAGTAGCAAAAGAGGGGCAGGTACAATCATAAACATAAAACTATACCTTAGTACTAACAATTTGTGCCTTGCACACAAATTGTGGTTTTGGCCGAGAGTTGAACCCAGACACTGTGACATAGTAACCAGGTAATATAACCATAGGTCAAGCAAACTATACCCAGTAGAATATCATAGTATTTTAATAACTAATTTAGTATTATGTATTTATACAAATCACAAACCTTATGATGGGATCTATAATTGGAATCGCGGTCACGGTACCCATGATCACGTATGTCCCGACCGTCGCGGTCGTCACGGTGATCGCGAGAATCGCGTGGGTCACGAGAATCGCGATGATCCCTCGGGTCACGGTTGTCGCGATGGTCCCTAGAATCTCGATTATCGCGATGGTCTCGTCCTTCTCGTCCATCACGACCTTCGCGACCATCGCGGCCGTCACGTCCCTCGCGCCCGTCACGGTGATCTCGATAATCACGATAATTACGATACCCACGGCCTCCATCATGATCCTCACGATTATTGTCCTGAGTAGTTTGATGAGGCACTTTTCGCGAATCCTCCTCTTCTTGGCGCCTCTCATAATGAATGAAATCATCGAAAATTGAGGTAGAATGGCAGTAACTATGCATGATCCGTAGCACCTGAAGACCCTTCGCGTGCGGCACTTCTTGTGTATCGCGAGAGTTCGTCACTGGCTTGTTTTCATTATTCTCTAACTTGATATGACGTAATTGCACATTTGGAACGTCCTTTACGTAGATCCACCTGACACGGAATTGTCCCTTCCACTTGTCCTGTGACCACACGTTAGAATTGGAATTATAGTCGACCGCACTAGTCATGCGTGCCATGCCGCAGAAATGTCCACTACCGTTGACTGAAAAGAAGAGATATACTGTGCCACCTTCTCTTTCGCGTTCACGGTAAGCCGCGTCGAGGCGTTTGTTACCGTGCTCTGTGCTGCACCATATTTCGTATTTGATGCTACGGTGTATATCATCTTCTGAGTATGATTTAATCACAAAGAAACGAGCGAGTGGAGCACTTAGGTCAAACTCCTTTGGGTTGTAGTCATTCTTTACTCGTAGCTCATCGAGTACAGGATGTGGCGTTGGAGCCGGGGTGGTGGCGACTGGAGGAACAACAACTGGTGGTACTGGAAGAGGAGGCCGCGGCTGATGTGGTGGTGGAGCTCGGGGAGCATGTGCCCAGGCCGGTGGCGGCTGATGTTGCGGCGGTGGTCCACGTTGAAGAGGAGTTGGTGGTGCCGGCGCCGGTGTTGGCATTGGAAGAGGTGCCGGTACTGAAGGCGGCTGCAGCGGGGGCGGCGGTGGCGCAGACACAACCGGAGCACTCTTGCCTGCATCCCACGTACTTATATCCATGTTATGTTTACCCGGCACTATTGGAGGTGGTGGCATACCCGGGCCTTTCTTTTTTAATCCAATACTTTGCGATGTAGGTGCCGGCTTCGCTGGTTGGCTGGCAATGGAAGCCCATGTCATCTTTTTGGGTTGCGATCCACTTGAAACATCTTTGAGCTCAGTAATGCGATCCTTGTCCACTTTATGATCTCCAAGCGAAAGTGCCTGCATACCAGTATCGACGGCTTTAACCCCATCTGGGACGTACAAGCCGTCAGCTCTATAGTAATCATCGTATTGCTTTGCACGTCCTAATTGACCCCACGTAGAGTAATCACCATTTCCATGAAAATAATTAAAAGTCGATGCTGGCTGCCCGAACGCAGCAGTTGAAAAAGGCGTTGTTGATGGTCCGAATACACCTGGAACATGCAAATATGAGAAATTAACATATTATTTTCTTTGAAAGTAAGAAAAAATATCAAAAGCCATTGATGAAACAGAGCAAAACAAAATTTATCCTTTAATTTTCATTAATTCTAGCTACCATCCATTCCATAAGAATCGTGAGGATTGTATCCTCCGAGGAATGTCATTGGGTCTGTTCCATTGGTGGACCATGTACCATCCCCAACTCCAAAAGCTTGGTAAGGAAGTGCTGTTGTGCCATAATAACCTGAAAAAAAAAATACTTTTACATGGGAAGACTGTTACTGTCAAGAAAAGCATACAAAAGAAATCAAGCAAATATAGATCTTACTAGGTTGATCAATAAGTTTTTGGACATGCAATGAGACTCTAGGATAAGTTTAAGTAAATTGTATTTATTGTTCAATGTTCAAATTTTTTGATGCTTGTTAGTGAGTAACACTGTGAAAAATATTCAGAGTTAGGTCTGGAGAATATAGTGGGTGCTGCATCAACTAAAACCCAGCAGTTCGGATGGCAGCACCTGCAACATCAGATCAATGGGAAGGGGCATTATCATGATGAAAAAGCACTCCAGCACACAATTTTCCTCGATATTTATTCTTTAGTTCTTCACATAGTTTTTGGATTAACAATGCATATTAATCTCCTTTTATTGTCTCTCCTTTACTTAATCAATCATTATTGTCTCCGGGTCAAAATGGTGTACCCACATTTCATCTACGCAAAAAGAATCTAGATCTTCTTCAATTATTGCTTTTAACTTATTTTAAATTTAGCTTTGAAATGTCGACTGTATCAACAACAATGTCAACTCTTACGTTCATTTGGGCGTCTGTTAACATTCACAGTATTTTATGAATTTATAAATAAATTACAGAATTTTAAGGTATGAGTTAATAAACTGAATTATCCCAAACGAAAACTTTAGAATCTCAGCTAAATAACGGATTCACACATCGAACTACTTCAACAATTTCTTGGTTTTTTTTAACGTTTTCTTGTGTAGCGGCCGTTGTTGGCTACTGTATAATAAGACGGAGTATTGTCTGCCAAAATAGACTGAAAATTAGATTTTTTTCAAATTCAAATCATTTATTGCGAATATAGGTTGATACAGTTGGTGTTTACGTAGTTATCACTTATAGAACAAACATTTAGTACAGCTATATTCCACCATTTGGCATGCAATATCCATCAAATTTTATTACTTTTATATAAAATTACTTAAACATGCTCTAGTTATAAATGGAGTCCACATGATACAAAATTAAAAATAATAGCGATAAGTCACTTTAGATAATATTATATAAGTAGGTATTCGGAGTCATGTAACAGTCAATTATTGAATTTCATATTTGTCTTCGAGATATTCTTTCACACTGTAGTAAGCCCTATTAACAAGATATTGCTTCAATAGTATTTGTTTACGCCAGAACGGTGGTGTCGGAATCGACGTCAGAGGGCGCGCGGCTCGGTGCCATACCGGTTTTGACGTCGGTCGAGCGGTGGGTGTTGAGAACGCGTAAAGGTGCAGTCGAGTCGTCTGCCAGCTGTGCTAACGCCAACACGCTGTCAATTTTTGTTCGGGAACTCGGAATAATTAGGCGCGGCTAGTAAATATACTGTCTAGGATTTGTAACGCGCATTCCTTGCTGGAGAGCTTCCCCAGGACTCATTGTGTCTGACTCAGAATCTGTATAAGTGCATTCGACAATATTAGCTAATGCGGCCTTTGATATTCTAGAAATAACTGTTGCTACGCGAAACGGTAGTGACCTTTGATCCGGACACTCCCTGTTCGTTTTGTGTGTTAAGCTTTATAACAAACGAGAGTTAGTGGCTTCTGTAAGTTAGTTAATAGTACGATAGAGTTAATGGACTGTCATCGTGACGAACGAAGAAAGTGACTGTGGACGGCGCCGCGGAAGATTACCTCAATTTGGAGCGGTGCTGACGTCCGGGCTGCTGCCGACGGCCAAGGTCTAATAAGGTCAATCACCACCAGTCACACCCAGATACACATCACAGCACCTTATTTCCCTTGCACCACACAACCACATACGAGCTGACCGAATCCTGAGGGACCAGTCGCCTTGGATATAGGTAAGTAAGCTCCGTCTAATATTCTCCCTGTTGAATAGCAGCAGGATCGAACGCCCCCCCCCCCCCTTATTGTTTATTGTAATTAGAGACTTTACACTTTGGCCTTAGGAGGCCCGACCTACGTCTGCTCGTTGAAACTCTGCTGAATGGGCCCCGGAGGATTTGACCTTTATGGGAGCAGCCGTAGGCCGTAACAGTATTTAAAACTTATCTGTATTGGAGCATGTCAAAATGTGTAAATGTGTAAATGGTTATAAATTCGAGGGGCCATACAAAATATACTGTTGTTAAATTGGGCTGTTTTGTTTGATGGAAAACATATTTTGTGATTATTATGTTTACTGTGTAGGCATTCAAATAAAGAAATATGCGTAATAACAAAAACGGCTACGTCATATATATAAAGGCATGGAAGTGTTAACAGTTTCAGACTAATAAAAAATGGTTAACAACCATCTGTCTGTTTTAACTTCACAATGGTCCTTACACATCTCTCTCTACATTAACTGCAGTTCTTCAAAATCACCTTTTTGTAGGATTTTTTTTCAGGCAGGAATATTTAATAACTGCATGAATTTTGCATCATCATCACTACAGCCCTTCACAAGTCCACTGCTGAACATAGGCCTCCCTCAAGGAATGCCACAAAACATGGTCCTGAGCTACCTGCATCCATCGACTTCCTGCAAGTATTACCAGGTCGTCACTCCATCTAGTGGGGGGTGTCCTACACATCATCTGCCGGTGAATTTAAATTTTGAATTTTGCATACAATATAGTTTTTGCATGGATATAGTTTTTAATAGATTTTTCAGGACTTAGTTACTAACGAATTTAAGATGCGAAAAAAATTGAATGCATTTCTATAAGTCATTGATAAGTGTCCTATTCAGAAAACTTATTGATCAACCAGTAAAGATGTTCTCACAATATTCATTCATTAATTAGCCAGTCTAGCAAAATATCCAGGTAGAAATAATCATTATTCTCTTGTGAAGATTTGTGGTTTATCAAATCTGATGTAATGATGGAACAATCTTGAACATGTAATATACAGCGCACATAGAACAAATATTACTTAGCTATTGTTTGGCATCTTAATATTTCTACCAGCAAATACTGTATACTCATAAATGACTGAGGAGAAAGCTAAACTATATCAATCTAATGATTGGATTTTATAAGTTACATTAATCAAAAATTCAATTTACAATGGTGTAATAATACCTTTAATCTTTTCTAAATTTATTAATTATTTAAAAAAATAAAAACAGAGTAATACTGAGTAAAGAAAAATGACCCATAATAACCAAAGTTTAAATGGTCTATCTCAACACCATTGGTAGAAAAATCTTGTTGTAGAGAACACAAGAGATATCGGACAACTAACAGTGAACATGCTAGCTCCAGCATGTGTCACGAATATTGCAAGGCTAATATTATTATATTTTATAATATATAATATATTATTATATAATATATTTATTAATATTCCCACGCTGTCGGTTCATCAAATCTAATGTACGTAATCTAGACCTATTTTATGGGAAAAGAGGCATTCTATCTTAGTCCTCACGGCTGAAAACGTATCTGCATTTTAATTCGCAAATGAAGATAGATGTAGATGTCTATGGGCTACAGCGTCCACTTACCATCAGGTGGGTTGTGTGCTCGTTTGTCACCCTAATTCTATAAAAAAAAACACAAATCCTCACAAAGTTCCACTTCTTACTAAGGATGATTTTTGATGCTGAGATGGTGATTATATACTTCCATCTTCTTGGAATGCTCCGAGATATAGGGAAATAACTCAGCATAGAAACAATGCATCAAAGTTGATGGTTGCCCAGCTAAACTATGACATTAGAATGTTAAGCACCTAAAGTCCCCAATATCACTGGAGCTGCAAAGCATTCGAAATATCGAGAATTTCACATCTGTTAAGATTAAACACAATACAGTGTCTTCTTAAATGTCATATGTTTGTCTAATTAACATTCTAATCTGACATTTGACTACTGCCAATTAAACCAATCCAGACAAAATAATAAAAGCAATTTAAGCTTACTTGGAGTTGTTAAAGAGAATATTAATAATGTAGCATTACTAGTATTTTTATACAAATAGAAGCATAAAATTGTATTGTATGTATATACATATATATTTTTTTTAAATAAAATATGAGGACCATTAATTATTCTAATAATGAATGAATGAATTGAATCATGTACCTACCTGCCGCGTTGTAGGGATCGGCTGCTGACGAGATGGGTGGTGCATATGAGGGTTGCTGTTGGTGACGCCATGACACCTCTGCCAACTCGTCGCCACCACTTTCTAACTGTTGCTCTTTTGGTACATTTGTCACTGTAAAAGTTGATACATACACACAAGTTTTACTGGTATACTTATTACTTTGTATGATAGTCATGGTCAAGATATCATAACAGAACAATATTTTATGTACATATTTATATTTTTTTATATCAGATCAAGCAGAATCACAATTTTTTTAACTATTTTCAAACACCTGATAAAATTCATAAATTGAGAATTTTACCTTTTTTTATTTATATTTGTTTTATACCCAAGTACTCAAATGATGCTCAATTTTAACATGCCGTTAAGTCTTGTACTGTGTCTATAACTTTAAGTCAAAGTGACTGTGACACCACAAGACTTGATGACACCTTAAAATTGAGTACCGTTTGAATATTTGGCCACTGATAAGCCTTCATAGTTCGGCATTGGGTGTGGTGAGGTGGCAGTGTAAGAGAATTAATTAGTCAAAGGTGCGAGACATATAGAAATAGTTAATAAATAGATAATAATAAATAAGTAATTTATGGTATCAGGTTTAGATCAAGTATATAGATAAGTATACAAGTAAGATGGTAGACCTTCAGTTTTATAGGTAACTGCAACATTATACAATACAAGTAGAAAGTATTGCAAATTAAATTTTTGTTCATATTTTTATTTTAAAATACATTTTCTCTAGTGCATAACCAATATTTGCTTTATATGTAAAATAATAAAAAAGAAGTCCAATTATGGCAATAACTAAGTTTAACAAAATAATATGTTGTGCAGAATTCAATAAATATTTTATTAGTGTGATTAAAGCCAGATTGATAGTGCTATTCTTCAGGCCACTAGAGTGCCCATTAAAGTGTTGAAACCCATTAAAGTTCACTTTAGAGATGACCCTCTCCCTTTGTAGGGTGTTTTGGCAATAATCACCATGCTTGGCCAGCAAATTTTCAATTGCTGTATGTACACCATATATGTCACAGAACAACAATTTTGTGAGATGTTAATATGAATAAAATTAAAAATTTATAAGGTAAGAAAGTTTCTCTCCGAATAAAAAAAACAGCTATAAATATACAACAGCTTTAAAATATTATGAATAATGTATTATTGTCAGATGACATACAATGCTAAAAGAATGATGCTAATAATAATAATCTTTATTAAAACTTATAAAGGTTTTTACAAATTAATTGCATACCTGATTACTAAACTAGGATTAATCCTACATCATAGGGTATAATAGAGTATCTGTACCATAAGTAATTTTATTTAAAATTGTATTAATATAAGAGGAATAATTAAATTATGCCATTATTTAATATGTCCATTAGTTAATAGAAGCTATGAGTGGCTTTAAAAATATAATTTCAGGCACAAAATATAGTTAAGGTTGCCAAACTTTTATATATTAACTTAAACTTTTATTTTAACCTTTTCCCTGTCCCATGAATCATATGTAAACATTTCAATTGTTTAACTATTTTATTTATATTGCAGACAGGAAAACTGTTAATTATAGTATTTTATATCCATAACAATATAGTAAGTATCAACAAAACAAAAAACATATAGGTACATATTATTATTCAATATATTGTGTGACAACCTGGTAAAACATGTAGGAAGTAGATGGATACAGGTGACCCAATGCCATATCTCCATAGATCTTTGTGGAAGCCCAATGTTAGCCCCCGTAATAAAGATGATGATCATGTTTCAAATTTATATTTTATAGTAATTTTTTCTACTTTGATTGAGCCTTTATTAACACCCTCAAGCCATATTAAAATAAGTTGTATCGACTACTATATATTTATTCTACAAATATAGTATTTGTACACTTAATTTAATAGAATACTAAATGACATAATAAGGATGGTAAACCTAACTTAAGGTGACAAAGAAAACTAAATTACTTTTTGATAACATGCTTATTAAGTAATCTTAATGAGATGTTATGTTTAGATACTTATAATTTACATTAAATGGATATTTTAGTGTTTGGCTATTGTGCAGTTAATCACTTCTACACTATAAAATTCTGGCCTTAATTTTTCTACAACATTGTTCTATTTATTATAAAGGTAATCAATCATCTCTAGTCTATATACCATAAGCTAAACTGCCTATTTTTAAATTTTGTCATTTTTAAATAGCCAAGAGTTAGTAGTACTATACAAAATATACTTTCAAAAACGGAAAGGATTGGAATTTACAATTAAATAACGTTCGAAAGCATTTTTAACAACGAACACGAAGCCGACCGGTACGAGGTCCTAGCTTCCTACGGAGAAAACACTTGCAACGTCATAATGGTTCATATTTACCTTGATTCCCTTGTCCTTTCATTCGCTTTACGCCCAATAGATATGAAACAAGAAAGAAAACAACAACGTTAAAAGCAGAAACTATTCAAACTACACATAAATAGTGTGAAAATATACGAAAAAGCGAAATACCTGATCTGACACGCCTGCTGACATTGGCCGCGATTTTTAGAATATTGTGCACCTATTGAAGTTTTTACTCACGACAATAACAATATAAATCACATCAGTTACACTACACTGTGTCCAAATTGTCCACGGCACATTTATTTATTTAAAAAAAGTCAATAATATTTTAAAGGCTTCTGATAGTCCTATGGAAAATACGAAGAAATATGGACGTAGCTAGCAATGGCGACCGTCATAATGTTACCAGTTTATAAAAATATAAATCATAGAGGAAAATAATGTACTTATAACGAACTATATTAAATATACCTCACTATCACAAAATACAAATATTCATAGATTTAATACATAGGTACTTACCTGCTATATCCAGTATGGCACAGTGAAGATAAATTAATCAAATTTCAGAAACAAAGATAAGTTTTAACAAAAAGTAAAAACACTTTAAATTGCTAAAAAAAAAGTTATATATTTGCTACCCTTAAGGGTGAATTTTTACTCCAAATTTATGGGACTACCCTACCTATAACCTATTCAATAAAAAAAGAATCATCAAAATTGGTTTACAGTCTGCGAAGATATCGCGTAACATACATACAAAAAAACACTCTTGAATTGAGAACCTTCTCCTTTTTGACCTTGGTTAAAAATAGCATTAAGATTTAAAACTTAAAAAAACAGATGCAACATTACTTAAAAATATATATCTTTAAATAAAAAAATCAATTACTGTACGTTAGTCCCGAAAAAGTTCAAAAATGGCTCGACCAATTTTGATGATTTTTTTGTGTGTATTTAAGTGGGTCTCTGGATGGCTTAGATTCACAATTGGACCTGGTAGGTGGCGTTGTTGTCGAGATCCATAAATTATCCGTGCTAGGCCGAGGCGGATCGCTCGTCTATACATATACATAAAATTGAAGTGTCTGTTTGTAATATCGAAATAACAGACTTACAGTGAAATAATGAATTTATTATTATTATAATTCTTAAGCGCACCCGTAAGCTCTGATGGGCCTCTAGTCAGTAAGTCCCAATTAATTTTTTTCACAAGAAAATCTCCCAAGATCAATAGGTCATTAAGAGCAGAATGAGAATGATAGTTATCGCCAAGTTTACAAGTGAAGTTTTTCAGCTGGGTATAAATTGAATTATGATCTCCTCGCTGATGGCATGAGTACATAGTATAAAAATGTAGTGTGATAAGCACAAGTTTAATATTAATCGATATTCTGAGTCATGTATCTTAAGCGGAGTATCACCAGGCTGTGCTTTGACGGCGGTGAGATCACGGTGCAGGTCTACCAGGGACGCAGGCACGGTGGTTCCTTTAGGCTGCAATGGATGGAAGGATGAGTTATATTTCTTTTAAATATGCTGGTTTTTGTGCGTAGTCTTCGGTCTCTCTCTCTCTCTCTTTCGCAGGTGGATTAATTAGCAGTACCTACCAGACGTCTCGGGCATATAACGCTGCTGCTTGCCGTCGTCGACCCACCGAACGAAACGGGGTGATAAACTCCCTTACGCCGTCATCACAGAGTACTTTACAATCGTCGCCACACAGCACAATTACGGGTTAAGCTATGAAGTTGCCGTTTTAATAGTCACTTTGAATTAAAATTAAACCTTCTAGTCCAAATTCCCTGATTAAAATGTTATTTATACACAAACTATAATATTCGAAATTCAAAAAAATTGTGTCAACTAATGTTTTGCTTTCAATTGTTTTTACATTCAGTATTTGATTTAAGTATTTCCAGTGTTTATTTTTTTAGAAGAGGGGCAAATGAGGATGCAGTTTGCATGATTGTAAGTGTCGACTGCCGCGCATTAACAACCGCAACACGAGGGGAATTCCATGCATTTCTGGCAAAGAGATACAAGATCTCTTAGCAGCGCCAGTGAAATGAGCCCATCATAAAGAAATCGGTCGCAGACGATTCGATCTAGATGTGGTCAAGTGGAAGGAACTAGCATTAGGGTGCCCTGGCCGAATTACAACAGTATCCCATGTGAGGCCGAACCTGCACCTCGTAAAGTCGCAAGCGGTGTGTCGGCATGAAATACTGTCCCGCTCTGCTGAGAACACCAAGCATTTTAGAGATCAATTTAAGCTTCCTTTACGAGTGACCGCGAAACTATACGTAATTCTATATTTCAACACCCAGGATTCAGATGCTGGCTAAGGTAGCAAGGGGAGTGCCCTGAAATTCAGGAGTTGCGACAAAGGAGTTTTTAAGCGGTAAACTCGTAAACATGTGTCAGCCGAGTCCAAGGTTGTGTCTGCAAGGGTTACTAGGACTTAATAGAGACTAGATTTTGCCATTCCCAATCCGAGACGTTGTTTATCTAAGATCCGACTTCAGACATAAGTTTGTTTCGGTTCTCGACGACGTGTTCCCGACAAATATTATCACGGCCAATGTAAAAAGTAAAAACGTCACCAATGCTGTCGTCCACATAGCAATAAATGTTATAGTAGGGGAGCCTGTGATACTAAATGGAGATTTACTCTAACGTTGTGAGGACCTATTAGATTTTGTAGATTAGTCGATAAGAAGAAAAAAAGTTATATAATGTTTCCCCTTCCAGTGGTGAGGGAAGCGTCTACAGATTTTCAAAAATATATTCAATAGGGGTGTTAAGTGAACCCTAAAAATGTTCTCATTCAAAAGACTGACGATTCGGAAGTGAAGCAAGCTCGTGGCGAATTTTTGAAAATGCGAAAAAAAATCACCGTATTGAAATACTCGAGCGTGTCAGATTATTAAATAGAAGGTTCAGCTTGTGGTTCTAGCTATGGTAGCTTAAAATCTGACGATTATTTTGAGGGATATTAATAATCTGACTGCTAGAAATAATTTTTTATGAACTTTTTTTCTCTCAATAACCATAAAATGTGACTGTGAATGTGCGGGGATGGCACGAGAGAGTCAGAGATAGGGCAAAAGTGAAAGGGAAAGAGAGTCGCGGAGTGGGTTATACATGCTTTACTTCAGCTGCACTCATCTTTATAGACGATTTTTAGTATTTCGGCTGAATGTCAAGACGTTTTTTTGCAACTTTGTACAGCGTTGCCAACCGTACGATTTAAATCGTATTCATACGATCTTTTTAGCCCTAGTACGATGTACGATCCTGTACTCGAAATCGTACGCAAAATATACGATCTTTTCAAATATTATAATCTTTATAACAAAATAAAAATGATAATTGATTAAGTTCATTTTATCGATATGAAAAATCAATAACATTAAAATTGAACGAGCTCTAAACTTCTTTGTATTTTTTTATGAACGCATCCAATCCAATAATTTTTTAAACTCTCTATCCCACTCGCACTTTAGAAATATGCAGCGTACTATTCCGTCAACTCGCCGCCGATTAAGGAATTCCCCGCGCAGTTTAACCAAATTTCTTCGAGTTTGTTTTACGTCATTTTATTCGTTATAATCCAAATAATATTACACTACGCTGATGGACATTAGATTAACTACGTTTATCTTTTAATATATGTTTTTTTTTGTTTGCGTTCCTTGGTTCAGTCTTATTGTGTATACGTATTGGTGTTTTTTGTTTCGTGTGGCTTTCATAAAAAAGTGATTGTTATACTTTTGTATTTATCCTGCAGAAATTAGGTACGTACTTTTACTTTTCGTCAGTTTGATATATTGTTTTTTCTTCATAATCATGGCAGAAACATCTAGAAATAAGCATAGCACACCAAAAAAAAAAAACTAGAACGACGACAAGAATTACCAAAGTTAGAGCGGCAGAAACATAGGGCTCAAAAGTATCGGCCGGAGTGGGAAGAATTAGATGTATTTAAAAAGTGGCTCAAGCCAGGCCCTAACGAATTTAAAGCCAAATGCTTTATCTGCGACTCTATTTTAACTGCAGAGATTGGAGTTTTAAAAATGCATGCCAATAGACAAAAACACCTTGACGCAATGAAAATGTTGCCATCAACAAGTAAGCAAGTTTCCACAATGGCATCATTTGTAACGAAAAAAATCCCAACAAACGTTCAAAATGCCGAAGTAAAACTTACCGGTTTTTTAGTTGAGCATAATTTAGCGTTCAAAACGGCAGATCACTTGACGGAATTGCTAAAAAGCATATTCCCGGATTCAAAGATAGCTCAACAAATTTCTCTTAAAAGGACCAAAGCAACTGCCATTGCCACAGCAGTCATAGGAGAGACCGAAAAAGAAGTCATGGTGTCAAAATTAAAACAAAATAAGTTCAGTGTAATTTGTGACGAATCCACTGATATAAGTACCCAAAAGGCTTCTTGTATTGTCGTGAGATTTCGTGATGAGAAATCAAAACAAATAGTTAGTAAATTTTGGGAATTGACGAAAATATTTGATTTGTCAAATCCGGACTTAAATAACGAAGGAGCCACGGGGAAAAATTTATTTAATGCCTTAATAAAATCTTTTGAACAGGAAAATGTTCCTCTCACTAATTTAATAGGATTTGCTGCTGATGGTTGCAGTGTGATGATGGGAGAAAATAATTCCGTTTCCAGTCGCCTTAAAGAGCATTGTCGTGGTATAGTAATAATGAAATGTGTGTGTCACTCTGCCCACCTTTGCGCCTCTTCAGCCTGTAAAGAGCTACCTAAAAGATGCGAGGATTTAGCTCGAGAAATATACGCTTTTTTCAAAAGTAGTTCTAAGAGACAATGTCAGTTTGCTGAATTTCAGGAATTTCTTAAACTGAAACCACACAAAATGCTTCATCCATCTGACTCGTTGGCTCTCACTTGTTGCAGTAGTGGAAAGAATACTCGAACAGTGGGATGCATTGAAACTCTTCTTCACAAACACATGGCTCAGCGAGAAGCTCGTTTCAACAGAAATCATATTTAATAACTTAAATGATCCATTCATCAAATTATACTTTAATTTTCTCGCATGGATTTTACCTAAATTTACAGAGTTTAACAAATTTTTCCAATCAGAAAACGTTGTGATAACTTCGCTAAATGACAAAATTCACGAAATATACCGGGACATTCTACTCTGTTTTTTAAAGAGAGATTACGTTATGAAACATGAACTTGAATCAATAAATTTCGTCAATGAAGAAATGTGGTTAAGAAACGAGCAAATGTACTTAGGCGTCAGAGTAATGAATGATCTCAAAAATCTTGAAATTTCAAGAAGTAAACTGGAACTCAATAAATTTTTTAGTGTTTGCCGCAATTTCCTGGTAACGAGTGCTAAAGAAATAAAAAAGCGTTATCGCATGAATGACCCCCTTTTATCAAAACTTCATATACTACATCCTGCGAATGCTGCATCGTCAAAATTTCGAGTATCTGTTCCTTCGATATTTTCATTAATCGAGTTACTTCCTAGAGTAGTACAGATGGACAACATGAGCTTAATTCAAAACATCGATAATCAATGGAGAAATCTTCCAGCTAAATTTAATGAATTAGATTTGACTTTACCGATTGATAAATTTTGGAGTGAATTGCACCTATGTCAAGATTATAGGGAGCTATCACAATTCGCATTAGACACTTTGTGCATTCCCCATTCGAATGCACAATGTGAACGAGTATTCAGTCACGTCAATCTAATGAAAACAAAAATTCGGAATAAATTGTTGACAAAAACAGTGAATGGGACTTTGTTGGCTGCACAACATATTAAGGAAACTGGATCATGTATCGATTTCAAGCCATCTGACGAGATGTTGTGCAAATTAAATTTGAGTATGTACAAAAGAATAAATACTTCGTCTCCCGAGTCTACTGCTGCGCTCAATGACTCTGATAGTGAATAATATTCAAAATACTATTTGTTATTATGGGACTTATAGGGCCAAATTCTACGAAAAATCGTAGATGGCACTGTACAATGACTTGTTGGTAATGACTTCTTAGCAATGTCCTTTATATGAAGACCAAAGAAAAACTTTATCAAAATATATCAATTGATATTGTTTCAAAGTTGTGCCAGTTCATTAGAATTAATTTTAATTTAAATATTGCGCTATTACTAAAGTCTCAATCGTATGCTCAAGTACCTGATAGATCATAATATACTCTAAGAGCTATATTTGTATTGATTTATATATGATTAATATTTTAACTTTGCTAATTATTTTGTAATGTAAAATGATCTCAGCGCTTAATAGTAATAGATATAAGTATGTTTTTCCATGTTGAGTGTGAATTTTATTGTTTATTGATGTTTAGTGAAATAGTAGAAGTAGCCCTATTTTATACCGACTTCAAAAAGTAGGCGGTATTAAATTCGACTGTGTTTTTTTTTTAATTTTTGTTATGTGTTTTCCTATCAACCGATTTCAATGATTCTTTTTTTATTTGAAAGCTGGCGCTTTACGTTTGGTCCCATATAAATTTGATCAAGGTTTGACAAATATTTTTTGAGTTATTCTTAATAGTTTATTTTGAAGTCGGTTGTACAAAATCTTTAATTTTAAATTATTGTAATATATGGCAGAGTGGGTGGTACAGTCCGAACCCCTTTTCGTTTAATTAAAAAAAGTCGTAGTAAAGTTTAGTGTTTTCTTAAATGTTATACCCTAAATGTTAAATTTTGCTTTGACGTTATAATAATATTATTTTTGTATTTTTTACCATTGTTTTATTGAAATTTTAATGCGTACTATTTTTTTTTTTGGATTCTTAGAAAAATACGATTTTTTCCAGTTTATGGTACGATCTCCTAAAAAATAAAGTTGGCAACCCTGACTTTGTAACCCTCCCTTACATTACCGTACCTTACGTTACGATCAAAACGTCAGATTTTCTAAATGCACTCTTTTTAGATCGTAATTAACCCACCTTACTTTAACCTGACGCGCTTAAGTAAATAAAAAAAATCTCCTTTTGGGCTGCCCTACTATTACTACTGTTGCCGGTTCGAGTGAAGCACAGACAGCTCGCATTACAAATGCTCATTTGCAGCAAATTGGTAAAATAAAACTTGAGAAATGTTTGCCTCATGAATTAATTAATGTCTATAGAAGAGCATGCATTGAAGGCAGTTTGTACAGAAATGAAGGGATTTGAACATAATTGTAACGCGCGATGAAAAATGAATTCTCTACGATAGTCGCAAGCGAAAAACGCAATAGCTAGAGCTAGGTCAAATACTGTCTTTATAATAATAATAATGCTCTAAAGCAGTGGAGTAGCGTGCCTTAGAGGGGCCCTGTATCAAAATTTGTCGGGGGGCCCAAATGAAGGGTAAAGATTTTTCACAAAAGGAACAAAAACTCTCGCATTGAATTAAAATAATTACATATTGATTATAAGTTATGACTTACAATTAATACTCCTAGGAACTAAGCTAGCCAAACAACTCAAACTAACATCCTGTCCCATAGAAGTCCTTAAAATGTTTGCTTACATACGAGTACGTTCGGGGCCTCTGTAGCCCGGGGGCCCCGCATCGATGCTCACCCATAGAAAAGTAATTGTAAATATTTGGTAGGTTTCTTTTTTAGTCATATATTAATGTAGTGTATCAATAACAACATATTATATCTATTGTAAAAAACATCGAACAATGACGGCGAAACAACGCAGACTTGTCAATCAATGTTCGATGTTATTGCTCCACGATAACTCAAGATTTTTTTTTTATAGAAGACAGCCAAAGAGATGCAACATCACTTCGCAGTGCAAGTGAATAGAGCCGATCGTAGAGAACTCTGTCGTCGACGATTCGAGCCGCTCTGCGCTGGATGCGGTCAAGTGGAAGGAGCTGGCACTAGGGAGCCCCTGCCCAGAGATGGGAACAGTATTCCATGTGAGGCCGAACCCGCGCCTTGTAAAGTTGCATGCGGATAACCGTCCCGCTCTACAAAGCACGCCAACATTTTTGGAGGCCAATTTGGCCTTCTCTTCCAAGTGATTACGAAACTGCACATAATTCGATATGTTGACACCGAGGATTCCGATACTGGCTGCGGCAGCAAAGGTAGTGGCCTGAAACTGAGTCGTCTTTGTTTAACAAAGACTCGACTTCAACACACGTTTGTTCCGGTACTCGACGACGTTTTCCCGAGAAATATTGGCACGGCCAGTGTATAAATCATCACTAGTGGTGCCGTCCGCATAACAATGAATGTTACCGGTTTGCAACATATAATTTATATTGTAACGCTTCCCCCCACCTTCATCTATAAAATGTATAAAATTTACTGACCAGTATAATCCATATATTGATCTTTCTCAAGGATCTTTCTAATTGTTTAGTTATAGGTTGTTTCAAAATTTATGGCGTGATCGTCTTAGGGCCCATATTTACGTTGTTTGTTTAGTAAGTTAGTTCTTTCAGGTGTCTCTTGGAAGAATGAATATTCACTAGAGCAGTCGAAATCCGTTGGTAGTGCCTTATAATTATTTTAAGCTAAAGAACCCCGTTCACAAAGACAGGCCTCAAAAAGGTTGAAAACATTAAATCCCTAGTCCACTTGGATCAGGTTCACAAACATCAGTCAATTTATTATTAATTCCTTCCTGCTTGGAAAAGGCTCACAATAATTATATAAAATACCAGATACAAGGGATTCTCCCTCCCACATTAAAAAAAGAAATGTGGGGAGGCACGCGGCTCCACATACGTCGTATGCGGTGAGCGTCAACCAAGCAACGCGCTCCCCCCGAAGGGGCGTTAAGTTGGGAACTGGACCATAGTCCACAGCAAAATAACTGACGAACCAGTAAAAGAGAGCTTAGCCCTTGTTAGTGCGTAAGCACAAACATCGGCCTAAGTCGCGCATGGATATGCGTGTAAACGCCATACAAAATACGATCAAAACCAGCCACAGTGAATGTACCTACGTCACACGGTTTAGGCAACACGTCGGATAATAGGCACACTGGCCATAAAAGCCCTCTGTGAGAGCCTTGACCCCCACCTGCTAGACCGCCGTTCTGCTCCATAAATGTCACCATAAAATCATATTAGAACGAAAACATATTCATGTTTTCAATTTAATACTTTCAATAATTAACAATAAAATGGCTAATTCACAATGTCATAATACTAACACAAACTGTCGAAACCTTGATCAAATAACGAAACATAAACAAATAGGTAATAAAGATGCCTATGATAACCACAATTATGATTCCGATTATTGCCACTAGTTGGCGCTGATTTTATTCCATACAAATCGTACTTAACTTTCTTGGGATCGAACACGTAAAAAAAACTTGCACTAGGCACACTGACCTCAAAACTTGGATTCAAATTCGTCAATTTACTTACTAATATTCTCTATATGGTAGAGCCATGTTCCAGCTATGTTTGTATTGGTTGTAGCACGAATGGGTCGGCTCGACCGTGGAAGGACCACGCTCTCACAGAATACCAGCGTAAAATAGCAGCTTAACACTATTGTGTTTCATATGGTGAGTATAGAGAAGCAGAGACCCTTTTTTGTGGAAACGAGGCCTTCTATCTTAGTCCTCACGGGTGATAACGCATCTGCATTTTGATTCGTAATCGAAGACAGTTTTAGATGTCTATGGGCTACAGCAACCACTTACCATCAGGTGGACTGTGTGCTCGTTTGTCATCCTCATCCTATAAAAAAAATTGGCCAATATTTTTGGGTAGCAAGTGGCCATAATCCACAGCAACACTAACACCATTTACGAAGCAGCCGTGGCCGCCACCAGAATCCACCGGTGTGGTTCCTCCTCCTTTCTGTTCCATTTCACTAACTGAAAGCATCAGCCTTCCCAACCTCAATGGCAGAGTAATATTTTTTTTTGATAGAAATAAAAAATAATGAATTATTGTCAAGTAATAAGAGTAAAAAATATTTTTTTAATATATTTTGATTTAACTGTGATAAGGTAGATTATTTTTTAGTGAAAAATGCAGATATTGTTTTTGTACCACTAGCAGCTCTTTGTCTTGCTTTCTCCTTTGCTGACATTGGTTTCTTTTTTAGATCAGTGGCTCCAGTGGAGGCAGGACTGACTTTAATATCAATTTCATTATCAAGGCATGGTTCACTTTTAATTTTTTTATTTGAGTTAGCACATTCCACTTCAGATTTTCTCTTCTTACCAACAGATTCAATAATTTCAGGTTTGAAATTAAACTGCTCTTCTAATTTTTGGACTAAATCATCTTGTAGATACTCAGATACAATACCATGGGCATATTTAAGATAAAATTCTGGAATAAAAACATTTGGACATTTATAATAAGTAGGTTTTAAAATTTGTTAAAGTATGCTTGTAGTTAAAGGTGCAAGACATCTGATATATTGACTAACAATTTGCTAGCCATGCATAATCATTGATAATTTTTAATCAAGGACTGTTGTAGGTGTCCATAGACCAAGGCATTCACTTATCTGATGATAAGTGTGTGGTGCGCAACGATGCAGGCAATGTGAGCCTTGAATAAAATTGAATAAAACTATTTTTACGGATTTTATCACATTTAATTTACTTATTTTAATTCCTGATGTTTCGGGTGCTTTACAGTAACCCATGGTCACGGGGGGGGGCTAAGATGTTTGACATCTTGATGTCAGAGTTAGCCTGGCTACCTTCAGTTTTTTAATATTAATTTTTGATTCGATCTACGTAGAATGTGACCTTTTCAAACAAATTAATATATTATACTCTCACTTCAATCACTACCGCAACACTCACATACACAATGCATGTGTCACCCGCACGTGTTTTGTGTGCTCGGGCCTTCCGCATTTAATTTCAAAGAGCAGTTTGACATCACCATAGCTCAAGGTTTTTGATGAACGCCTGAAGTCAATGCTTTTGTTTTTCGCTAGTTGTTTTCTGTTTTTTTTTTTTTACAGTTTGTGTCTTCTGGTATACGTGTAATAAAATAAATTTTGATAAAATTCAATTTTTTAAAGAAACTAGCTCACAGACCACCCTATAGTAAGTGGATGCTGTGGTCCATAGACATCTTCATCTATTCTTAACTAAGGTAGAATCCCTCGTTTCCAGTAAATGGGATTCCAGTTCAGAGCAGAATTAAGCTGCTATTTTCAACCCAATTCCTTAATAATTTTTTTTATAGGATAGGGTGACAAATGAGCACACAGCCCACCTGATGGTACACTTACCAATGTTGCTGTGGCCCATAGACATCTACATCTATCCTCATTTGCGAATCAAAATGCAGATGCGTTGTCACCCGTGAGGACCAAGATGGAATGCCTCTTTTCCAGTAAAAAGGGTCTCCGGTTCTCTACACTCACCATACGAAACACAGCAGTTTTAAGCTGCTCTTTTACGCTATTATTCTGTGAGAGTGTAGTCCTTACCCGGTCGAGCCGACCCATTCATGCTACTACTATACTACTAATATAGCTGCAGCATGGCTCTACCATGTACAAATAATATTAAATAATATAAATTATTAAATAAGTTAATATACTTGATAAAATCTGTAAAAACTAGTTTTATTTACATGTGTAGTGTCCTCATAAACATAAGAAGTCATTACTGCAGTATAGTCAACAGTAATAATCTAATTTTATAATTATATACATACATACCATCATCAATACCCTCCTTAGTGATATTACTAGCAACAAATGTAGCAGAAACTGCACCTGGCATTACATGTATGTTTTTTTCTTTTAACACTTTAGCTAATTTATGGATTCTTTCTTTTAACCAATTTAGTGTCTTTTCTTCATTATACTTATAAGCATTAATATCCACTGGACCCTTGAAAACATAAATTTAAAAATGTGAAATCTAAATAATTATATGATAATTTAATTATAATATAAGCAGTTAAAAGCACCTTTAAATCTCCTATATTGTTCATATTGGTAACAAAATGAACTATTTTGTCAAATCCTTTTTCTGATAATAAATCCTCTAATGGTACAGCTCTATTATTACATTGTTCCCTTAATCTGGGCAGTACTAAAAGAACAATATTCATAAAACATAATATGTGTACAATAAATGACTCTTACATGCCATAATTGTTGATTTGTTATCATTAATGTTAGAATTTACAAACCTAAAAATAATGGATTTACAGGAGTTATCATAAGTATACTCCCATCACATTTCACGTAGTCACCCATAAACCATGATCTGTATGGCTCACTAAATGACACAACTTCATAAAGTTTTTTATTGAGATAGTCTAAGCAATATTTTGATAAATGACCATGAGCTGGATGTGGTAGCGTGATAATACTAAAGTTACTATTTTCTAATACAGAATCTGAAAAAAAAAAACATTACCATCACGAAAACATTTCCAGTAAGGAAAGACAGATTACTTTTTTCGAGTGTTTTTACCTTTAACGAGTAAAACCCAGGAGTTTTCAATTCTTTTTGGTGATACTAAGTTTATATTTACTGTACTTTGCGATTTCTTTTGGGATCTAGTAGTCATTTTTATTATTTCAAGAAATCAAAGTTTTAAATGCTGAAGCATTTCTCGTTCCCGCCAGATTTTCTGAGTACAGTGCAGTGACAGTGACACTGACACTGACAAGACACATAAACTTTTTAGATCATACAGCCTACGGATGTGTAATTTTAACTTATTTAGTTTGAAAAACAGAAGTGCTTTTCAATTACTTCATCATTGCAGCCCTTCACATGTCCACAGCTGAACATAGGCCTTCCCAAGGAATGCCACAAAGACCGGTCCTTAGCCACCTGCATCCATAGACTTCAACTTACTAAACTTCGTCCGCCGGTACGAGACTGCCACTCGAGCACCTTTTTTCACCATCGGTTGCCAGTTCTTCGAGCTATATGACCAGCCCATGCCACTTCAGTTTACCAATCTGTTGGGCTACGTCGGTCACTCTTGTCCTACTGCGGATATCCTCATTACTAAGTTTATCACGCAGAGAAACTTCGAGCATAGCCCTCTCCATAGCACGCTGAGTGACCTTGAGCTTCCTCATCCGGCCAGCAGTGAAGGAATACGTCTCAGCTCCATAAGTCATCACTGGCAACACGCAATGCTTGTAAAGTCTTGTTTCCAAATTTTGAGGTATACCTGACGAGAAGATGTGCCGTAATTTGCTGAATGCTGCCCAGCCGAGTTGAATCCGCCAATTGATCTCTCGTTCGAAGTTGGACTTCCTAGTCGGACTATTTGTCCCAGGTAAACATACTTGTCAACAACTTCGAGCTTAGTGTTCCCAACAACAACCGGCATATGTGTGACATGGACGTTATACACGATCTTTGTTTTGTCCATGTTCATTGTAAAACCTATCCGATGGGAGGCACTATTGAGTCATTGAGCATAGTGTTTAGGTCCTCCAGCGATACTGCCATGAGGACTAAATCGTCGGCAAATCGAGGGTGAGTGATGTACTCGCCATTGATGTTAGTACCATATCCTTTCCAGTCCAGAAGCTTGAAAACGTCTTCCAATGGAGCGGTGAAGAGTTTCAGGGAAATAACTTCACCCTGTCTTACACCTCTCTGCAGTTGGATAGGTTTCGTTCTCTGGCTCTGTACTCAGATAGCCATCGTAGCCCTACTGTACAAACACTTCAGTACTTCTATATACCGACAGTCAATTTGGCACCGCTGATTGGACTGCAGCACCGCTCAGATTTCGACGGAATCAAAGGCTTTCTCATAGTCCACATACACCAGACATAGTGGCAAATTGTACTCCACGGACTTCTGTACAATTTGCCGAAGGGTATGTATGTGGTCTATGGGGCTAAAACCTTTTCGGAAACCGGCTTGTTCGGGAGGCTGGAAGTCGTCAAGACTGTGCGCGAGACGATTCGTAATGACTCTCGAAAACAGCACGTAGACGCGACTCAGAAGGGAAATCGGTCTGTAGATCTTCAAGAGAGCGTAGTCACCTTTATTGAAGAACAAGACCACCGCACTACTGCTCCACGCCTCCGATGTAATGCCACCATGGAGGACAGAATTAAGGAGCTTCTGAAGGACTTCAAGTACCAGTTTTCCACCCACTTTTAGAAGCTCCGCTGTAATTCCATCCTCACCTGGGGCCTTGCCGTTTTTAAGGTACTGGAGAGCCATTCTAATCTCGCTCAGACTGACGTCCCGGATATCATCGGAATAGTGTCGGATAAGACTCACTCTTGGATCGTTATTCACACTTGCGTGTGGCTCCAATGATGATGTGTACAGCTGCCCATAGAACCTCTCAATCTCACTCAAAATTTCAGGTGTCCCGGAAACGACGCTGCCACATTCAGTCTTCAGCTTCGACAGTTGGCTCTTTCTGGCAGACAAATTTCTAGCAAAGACTTTGAAGCCCTGGTTCCGCTCGATCGCTTCTTCAATACGAGCAGTATTAAAGTTGCGTAAGTCCCGCCGCATGCATTTGAAGATCTGTCTGTTCAGTTACCTGTATGCTGTCAAATCAACTGAAGACTGCAGCTTCATATCCCGTCTAACAGCCATGAGATTAAGAGTGTGAACGGAGAGTTTTTGTGTTCTTCTGCGGCGGGTCTCGCAAAACTTAGCTCCGACCGCATGGACAGGTTTTACGAGCTTTTCATTCATATCGTCCACTGCATTGCAATCTTCTAGGCACTGAAAACTGTTTCGTAGCTCGAGCTGAAAGGTTTCGGGACTTTGGATTAGAGCACGAGGGGGACGGAGCGTTGAATTGATTAGACGTGACCTCTCCAACTTAACGTTTATAATAAACTCCAACTTAACGATAATCCTATGATATTCCAGCGCAACTTGTTTATCTCTTCTTCCAGCTCCAGGATCTTATCATCAGTCCTCAGGGTGCGTGCATTATAAGTTGCCAGGTCGAGTCGTTGTAGGTGGCAACCGAAACTACACCGGAGATTCTTAGCACCCCCTTCCCCGCCGTTACCATGGTCGCCACCGTAGCCAGGAATAGCGGGGCCGCCAGGGATTGGCGGCCGTCTCTTCGTTACTTTCATGGGTATATTGCCATAGTTGCCACGCTTGGCAAACGGGTTGGCAACCGCAGTTTTTTTATTGGTTTTTTGCTGCTATCAGAAATATGCTGCTGCCCATCCTCTGCCTCAGTTTCCCTCTGTCACCTCTTACGACGCCCACGGGAAGATATGGGGTAGTAAGTATTCTTACCCGCCACTACACGGGATTAAATATAAAATATTATTGTTAATATTTATAAATTTAATTTTTTTTCCCACGCCTATTCGGTAGAGACTCCTTGTCTTTGGTCATGGTCATTGGTAACTTGTCACTCTCACTAGGGATGAGCAAGGGAAAAAGTATATCGATATATATCGAATCTATATTTTTAAACAGTATCGATATATATCGCGTGATAAATATCGATATATCGTCAAGATTTGCATGATGTCAAGATAAGGTCAAAAATTTTATTTACTGACGGTTGGACGACGAAAAAAACGATACAACATTTTAAAATATTCGAATTCGATACTCTAAAATAAATATCGATATATCGAAGTATCGCGATTTCAAATATAGCCGATATATATCGATATTTTTATTTAATAATATCGATATTTCGATATATCGATATTTTTTGCCCAAGCCTAGCTCTCACTTCATTTTCTTTTGCTTTTACCGCGTTTTTATTTGTGTTTTGTATTGTGATTTGAAATTTGAACTGTTTCAACTTTTCTCAAATTCTAAGAGCTCCAAATTCTTGAATTTCAATTAACTTGTCTAAGGGCATAGAGTGACAAACAAAGATTTATAATTATATTTTATTATATATGTAATATCTTCAACTTATGTTTATAATTTATACATTTTTTACTCATACTAAGAACAAGCCTAACCCTATTAGAATTCCAGAAAATTATATCATAAATACAGAAAATCATGCAAGCCTTTTTGAAGACAGGAAAGTTATCAGTTACCGACAAGCCATCTACTTCTGGCACAAAAACAACTAAAAAGAAACCACCGGCACCATGGGTTGAAAAATAGTTTGTATTTTCCTAAGTCCATCTTTATACTTACCTTATAGTAGTTCAATACAATTTAACAAGACAACTGTTCATGTTTACAGCCGACCGAAAACAATTGATGATATTGTTGATCAGGGTGAAGTTGTGCAAGTTTTGAGAGAATGCTTGTCGGGAGGAGATTTACCACATTTATTATTCTATGGGCCACCAGGAACTGGTAAAACAAGTGCCATTCTTGCTGCTGCGAGACAACTCTTTGGAGATATAACACGCGATCGGGTGCTTGAACTTAATGCTTCTGATGAACGTGGGATACAAGTAATTAGAGACAAAGTCAAGTCATTTGCTCAACTTACTGTGAGCAACACAAGGCCAGAGTAATTATTTTTCTTATTTATATATACTTATTTTTGATTGATGATGTGTATATAAACATTTAATGTACATATGAAAAAGTAAACTTACAGTATCTAGGTGGTATAGTCATGCTGTAGCAAAATTGCTTCTGCTTGACTGGAAAAGAACAGCTCTCACAGGATGCACCTACCACAATACACCCGAAACACTAGTCCTCAGGCGACAACATATTTGAATTTTGATTCTTAATCAAGGGTCATAGATTAACAAATCCTTTAATTTTTGAGAGGGTTGTCATATCATATGATAATCACACACATAGGATGAAAGAGATTGAACGTGCGATTCGAAGTTTGAAATGTGGTAAGGCTGCGGGACTAGACAGAGTTACTGCTGAAATGGTCAAGTATGGTGGGCCTCGCGTCTGGGACAGCTTTCATCTGCTGTGCAATTTGTGCTGGCAGACGGGAGATGTCCCGGATGATTGGCGATCCGCAGTCATTGTGCCTTTATATAAAGGTAAAGGTTCACATTTTGACTGCGGGTGCTATCGGGCGATCAGCTTGACCAGTTTAGCAAGTAAAGTTTACTCGAAGGTTTTGACACGTAGGATGCAAGAGAAATCGGAAAGATTTCTATGGGAGGCACAATGCGGATTTAGACCTGGAAGAGGATGCACGGATCAAATGTTTTCTCTCCGCATGATCACGGAGAAGCTTCTGGCTGCTAACCAGAAGATTTTCTGTGCTTTTGTGGATCTTGAGAAAGCATTTGATAAGGTTGTAAGGAAGAAAATGTGGGAACTGTTGCCGGGGTATGGTGTGGATGGTCGATTGCTAAGGGCTATGCAGTCTCTTTACTGTGACTGTAAAGCCTGTGTGCGGGTAGGACATGACCTGTCACCCATGTTTAATGTCCAAACGGGCGTAAAGCAGGGTTGTGTCATGTCTTCCTGGCTGTTCATACTGTATCTCGACAGCTGCTTACAGAAGCTGAAAGATAGTTGTTTGGGTGTGAAATTGGGTGACATTAAAGTAAATTGTCTGCTGTATGCTGATGATGCAGTGCTTATTGCACCATCAGAGGCAGAACTGCAGGCATTAGTCACGTGTATGAAAGAGGAATGTGAAATTAAAGGTCTCCGTTTGAACGCTAATAAAACTAAGGTTCTGGTATTTGAAAGGGACGAAGAGAGAACGAAGTGTGAAATATGGGTAAATCAGGAATGTCTAGAACAGGTAAATGAAATTGTATACTTGGGGAGTGCTTTTAGCCGGGATGGAAGATGTGATTTAGATGTGGACAGGCGTGTCGCTGCCGAGAACAAAGTCAATGGTGCCCTGACTGCGTTAGTCAAAAGGCAAGGCGTAGCGAAGAGTGCACGCCTTGCAATACATAACGCAGTGTTGGTACCGACTTTGTTATATGGCAGCGAAACCTGGGTATGCCAAAAGAAGCATAAAAGTAAGTTGAATGCAGTGGAGATGCGATCTCTTCGTAAAATGTGCGGCGTTACCATGGCCGACCGAAAGCGAAACGAAGAGATTCGCAATATGGCAGGTTTGAAAGATGACCTTATCACAAAAATTGATAAGGGCGTGCTTCGGTGGTTTGGGCACGTTGAGCGAATGAGTGAAGACCGAATGGTGAAGAAAATATATAGCGCGAAAGTTAATATTAAAAGGTGTCGAGGTAGACCGAGACTAACTTTCGAAGACCATGTGAGCAAATTGCTCGAAGAGGGTAGGGTCAAAAGTACTCGGATACCTAGACGTGCATGCATGAAGAAGATAATGAATCTGAAAGAAGCGAAAGAGGTTTGTAAGGATCGTGACACTTGGCGATCTGTTCTCTCTGGCTACCCCGTCAGGGATTGTGCGTGAAGATAAGTAAGTAAGTAAGTAAGTGAAGTTCAACTTTTATTAATAAATGAATGATTTCACTTTGCTAAGTATTATATTGTTTGAATTTGTAAAAATGTATAATAAATTTATATCACAAACATCTTCAACCATTAAGATGTTATGTTATAAAATTTTTGCAGGGACCAAATACAAGTAGCAGTGATATGAATACTTACTCTTCTGTCTAATAATATTCTTTTTGATTTACACAAATATTAGTTTAATTTTCCAATTGGGACCTTGCCTTGTGGCATTTGTTGCAGGAGGCCTATGTTCAGCAGTGGACTTGTGTAGGGCTGTAATGATGATGATGATAATGATGTTAGATTATGGACTACAAATTCCTTATAATTGCTTTATTGAAATTTCCACAGTTTACATATTTATTACAATGATACACAGGCTGCACTAAAGTATCGGGAATGGAATATTTCCACTGTTCCTGTCATATTTAAATATTTTTAATTGAAAAGTCCTTGGTTTTTTAAAATCGAATACCATTTATTTATTTAAAAAAAGATTCTCGGTCCTGTCACACGGTTTTGTCAAACTTGTTTAGTTGTTGAGAAAATGGAATTGACTAGAGAAAATTCAAGAGCAATGATTTATTATGATTTTCGAAGTGGTTTAACACTAAAACAGTGTGTTGACCAGATGATTTCTGCATTTGGTGATGAAGCCTCATCCAAAACCACAATTTATCGCTGGTTTGCTGAATTTCAACGTGGACGTGTCAAGCTCAGTGATGATCCCCGTCAAGGTCGTCCAAAAACTGCAGTCACCCAAGAAAACGTTGATGCTGTGCGTAAGCTGATTGAGGAAGATCGACATGTGACATACCGCGAAATTCGGGCAACTTTAGACATTGGCATGAGTCAAATACAAATAATCTTGCATGAACAATTAGGTGTAAAAAAGTTGTTTTCCCGATGGATACCGCATTCGCTCTGTGAAAATCAAAAAGCAGCTTGCGTTACTTGGTGCGTCAGAACTCTCGAAAGATTCCATGCAGGATCCTCAAATGCTGTATACAACATCGTATCAGGTGACGAATCCTGGATATACGCGTACGAACCCGAAACAAAAAACCAGTCACGAGTTTGGGTGTTCGAAAATGAGTTAAAGCCAACAAAAATTGTTCGTTCACGGAGTGTTGCAAAAAAAATGGTGGCCACGTTTGTCTCCAAAACCGGCCATGTTACGACTATTTCTCTTGAGGGACATAGAACGGTTAATGCAGAATGGTATGCTGGCATTTGTTTGCCACAGGTTGTTTCTGAACTCCGTAAAGAGAACTGCAACCGCCGTATCATCCTCCATCACGACAATGCGAGTTCTCACACCGCACACAGAACAAAATAGTTTTTAGAGCAAGAAAACATAGAATTATTAGACCATCCGCCGTACAGCCCCGACCTAAGCCCTAATGATTTCTATACTTTCCCTAAAATAAAGAATAAATTGCGTGGACAGAGATTTTCATCACCTGAAGAAGCTGTGGACGCCTACAAAACGGCCATTTTGGAGACCCCAACTTCCGAATGGAATGGTTGCTTCAATGATGGTCTTCATCGTATGGAAAAATGTGTCAAATTTCGAAAAGCAATAAATACATTTTTAAATAGAAATGTTGTGTCACTTCCTTGATTCCCGAAATTTTCAGTGCCGCCCTCGTACAATACATCATGTGAGCCATATTAATTAGAGATGGGCAGAGTTCTGGGCATCCTAGCTAGGTTTCTTATTAACCTGTATTTAGAATGATTTTTACTGTCTTAATAGAATAAATAATTTAATAATAAATACTAGTAATGTTATTAAACATTACTAATATTCCCTTTAACCACTTCTGGTAAGCTTAAAATGCCTGTGTTAGAAGTGGTTCACGACGGTAGTGGAATAGCGGATTCGAACCCACGACCTTTCGAGTTCGCGGTCCGCGTCCTGCCATTAGGCTACTGACGCTTCTAAATATATGATGATGATAAACAAGCATGCAGTACACCTGATGGTAAGTGGATGCTGTGGCCAATGAACATCTACCTTTATCCTTGATTAAGAATCAAAACGCTGATGCATTGTCACCCCTGAGGACTAAGATGGAATGCCTCGATTCCAGTATAAAGGGTCTCCAGATCTCTATACTCACCATATGAAAAACAGCAGCATCAAGCTGCTATTTTACGTTGGTATTCAGTGAGAGCATGATCCTACCCTGGTAGAGCCGACCCATTTGTGTTACAACAATGACTAGCTGCAGCATTGCTCTACCGCATACACTTACCATTGGGCTATTGAGAAGATGATTTCAAATGTGCAATTCCTGTTGCAAGAGAAGGCAAATTTTTTCCTTTGTGCTTGAGAACATGGAGAAGATAAATTCTAGATTGTATAGAATAAATTTCTATTTTAAATGCTTATTTATTACAGTGGCAGACCATGTCCTCCATACAAGTTAGTTATCCTGGATGAAGCAGATTCTATGACGACAGCTGCGCAGGCGGCGCTTCGGCGTACAATGGAACGAGAAACTCGCACTACACGGTTTTGCCTTATCTGCAACTATGTGTCTAGAATCATACCACCAATTACAAGCAGATGTTCCAAATTTAGATTTAAACCGCTTGCAAAAGAAAATGTAATTAAAAGGTAATAATTGATTATATCACTTTATAAAGTCAAGACTGATTTTACGGATTTTATCGCGTCCCCCCCGTGACGATGGGTGCTGTAAAGTGCTTGAAACGTCGGGAATGTAAAATAAGTTAATATACGCGATAAAATCCGTAAAATTAGTTTTATTTAAAAGTCAAGACTGCACATTTTACCCTAAACTAGGTTAGTAGGCTTAAGATATGTTCGACTGTTTTATCTTCAGTATGTTTTTTTCATATTAGGTTGGTATGGTAAATGATCACCCCGTTGGTGATGGAATTATCCTCATCTTTTTATTCCATGGGTGTTGTAAGAAGTGACAATGGGAAAAGCCAGAAAGAATTTAATAACATTTTATGATACAAATTAGACCATTAATAGGAAGTAGCATCAAGGGTGCTGCAGGGTGTCTGGTATTTTGATCATCAATCCATCTCCCAAGCTGACATTTCAGGCGCTAAATCCTCTATACAAAAAGGGAGGCTCATGTCCAGCAGTAGACTTTTACTGGCTGAGGACGATTGTGGCTGATACTGAGTGTTCAGTACCTAATTGGAATTTAATGACCTCACATTGATACTTTCTTGATTAAAGATGTACATAGTATAAAACGAAGTCGCTTCCCGCCATTTGTATGCTTAGATGTTTTAAATTACGCAACGGATTTTGATGCGGTTTGCATCAATAGACAGATTGTTAGAATGATTCAAGAGAAAGGTTTATATGTATAATACATGCATATTAAATATTATATAATTCTTCTGTTCTCGTGTATATAACTGAACTCCCTCTTAAACAGCTGGACCGTTGTTGATGAAATTCCGGTTGTGTGATTTAAGGCGCAGGTTGAGCAAAATGTCGCGCTAGTCGTTATTTGTGCTGTTTTTAAGAGCTATCTACTTTTTATTTAAAAGATATATTAACAAATAAAAAACACATTATATTTCTACATAATCTTGATTCCATAAAAGCTATATCCAATTTTTTTTTTAAAGGAATAAATATTAATATAATCTCCTTACAACGAAACCACATAAATGTGAAATTATTATTGATAACATGCATCTCCTCGTAAAGTAAGTATTATTTTATTTTGCGATTTACACCAATGGACAGGCAATTTATTAATGAACATTTCTATAGTAAATTTTTTTTCAAAAGACCTAAATTTGATTTTATTAAGAATTTATTTCAAAATCTGGGCATATTCACTGCTCACGGGCTTGCTGAAGTCAGTGAGCCCTGAGCTCTTCGACGTGAAGCCCGTGTCGTTAGAGCGTCGATCAGCACATACACTCACGTCATATCAGTCGAGAATAATATTACTTATTAGGTTATTTATAGGTAGTATTATTTGTTTGTTTTGGGTATAATTTTTCGTATGACTTATACATATGTTTGTTGTGTTTTTTACTGCGCGATGAAGCTTTTTGCGTGTATTTTCTTTGAAGTAAATGCAAATAAAAAAATGAAGCACCATTAGCATGTAAGGTTCGAATCCATAATTAAAATTTCGACAAATATTATAATTTACACTATAAAAGGCTAATTGAATATTATCACCCAACCACAATATCTTATTAAGTACTGCCTCGTTGGTCTAGTGGTTGTAGTAGTGCGACGTCTGATCATGAGGTCCCGGGTTCGAATCCTGGGTCGGGCCCAAAAGTCAGTTATGAGTTTTTCATTTATGTTCTAAGTTATAATTAGTATTACTAAGTTATAGTTTTTTGCTAAAATATAGTATATTATTTATTGCTTGTTTTTTCTTCTTTTTCAAAAAATAATTGAGTACATAAGGTGTTCTATACTTATAATTCGGTAAAAAGTATCTAAGTAGGTACTAATATACCTACTTTTTACTATTAACTAAAAATTTTTAAAACTAAATTTAACTAAAAAGACTAAACTGACCATTTATTTTTTAACTCAAAACAGGACATGGGTTTATTTATACTCTAAAAACTATAACTTTATACAATTAGTGTTCACTGTAAAATTATATTCGGTATAGAGTATATTATTAAATGCAACATATTTTTTTTAATTATTAATTACATTTGTAAGTGGATTAAATTTGCTTTAATAAAGTTGGTGATGATTTTAAATAAAAATAAAATTCTGCTCAAGTTTTTTTATTGTTATCTTTGTTAACAACATCGCCTTTAGAACTCTGGAACCGTAAGTGTTTCTTTCAGACGTCCACAATTTATTCAAAATAAAAAAATACTCTTTCTACCGGAGCATTCGTACCAGGTAGACATAAAATATATTCGATTAAAAAAATTATGTTGAAGATTGTTGACTTTGAATACTTCCATCCAACTAGTTACGGGACAATTTTGTGTCCCGGAGCTTTGTTTGGGGACAATGGGACAGGTGACCGAGAAAAGGGACAGTCCCGTTCAAAACGGGACGTATGGTCACTTTAGCTATAACCTGGCGACGGCTCCGTGGCGTAGTGGCTTAGTAATCAGTTGTTGCGCTGGGGGCCGCGGGTTCGAATCTCGCACGGAACAAGTATTTGTATGGCTTACAAATAATTGTTCCGGGTCTGGATGTTTGTCCTTGTGCAATTTATGTTTGTAAACTGCCTCCACGACACAGGAGAAAATCCTAGTGTGGGGTAACGTTTTTTTACAATTGAAATTGAAAGATTGAACCCTTATACTACTTGTTGATTTTTGTATTACCTTTATTAAAGTTACCCTTATGTATAAATAAATATAATTACGTATGTAGAAATAAAATTGATTTTCATCCTCATCAATCATTGGGGCGAGGATAGTGTCTGCCAGCAAAGTAATAAGCAGGCTAAGTTACAAGGTGCTCAGTTCAAAAATTTGTAGGTAGGATATGTTACTTTTCAATACGTGACACGTAAAAATTAACAATAATCAAAAACACATCTACGAAACATCCTATTTATTTATTCTTTATTGCACCAAATATTTGTACAAAAGGCGAGCTATCTATTTATTTACCTATAGTGAATAGGTATCTTTTAAACTGACAATTTTCAATGCTTCATTTTTAATATATAATTAATTATAAAATTTCATAATTAGATAATATATGAAAATACATAATTCTAATATAATGCAACTAATATACCGAATAAAAAAATTAAAATACATTTATCGTTCTACGCTGTGTGTATTTCCACAAATTAGTTTATTGATGTTGAAAAAATAATACTACATAATAGGTGGCGTCTTAAATAAGCAATATATTGAAGCGAGCGAGCGGCGTGTCGCCGGCAAATGCTCAAGGTCGTTCGCATGGAGTAGCCCCTTAAGTTGATTAGAGAATGGTGTAGTTCAATTCGACCCGGTAGATGGCGTCGTTGTCAATATCGCCGGCGAAGCCGGGGCTGAGCGCTAGTTTGTCCGTGTAGTGGAAGTGTAGGAATATCCACTATCCCATATCGTCCTGTGGTTATTGTAAGAGGCGACAGAGGGAATCAAACCAGAAGCTGAGCAGATATCTTCCATATAACTATATTGTAATTGTTACCTGGCTGCTGCCAAGCGTGGCATCTATGGTGGCTGCAGACGAATTATTACCAATGAAGACCAAATTGACTTCCTAACTTATAGTTATACTGCGTCTCTTGTGAGGTATTATATTTTCCTGTTGTATTATATTGGTTCTATACAATTTATAGCAGAGAATAACACACCACTTGTCTAGAAAAGTTGATAATTGATTCATCTTGCAGAAAGGCATTTTTCCACTTTGACAATCTGACCACTGACGTATACTCACCATATAGATGGAACCAGATTTGAGCACAAAATTTACCTGTGTAGTGAGTCTTTGATATAGTTATGTTGAAGTTAAAGGGTTGACTTAGTCACAATTAGCATACAAACATCTATAATTTTGTGTTGTAAAAGTATTGGTTGAGACTGCAAGCGGCACTAAGCACTGACACTCAAAAGCTATAATGTTCAACTTTTCCACTTTTGCTTTAAAGAAGGGCCTTGTTAAATATTCAACATTAAGAAAAGTTTCATTTCAGTAATCAATGATTATAAAGTTAGTCCTATACGCGGTGTATTACAGGAAAAGGTAGATTAATAATAAGTATTATTATCTTACAATTTTCAGGCTACAAGAAGTTTGTGTAGCTGAAGGAGTGGATGTTGGAGATGGTGAAGTATTACATCAAGCAGTCCATACTTGCGATGGAGATTTGCGACGCGCGCTCACTGCTCTACAGTGTTGTCAGCGCTTATTAGGCAAAGTCACAGCCGATGGACTAATAGAGGTTTGTTTATGTCTTCACCAGAGTCTTTATCGTAAACACATACGGATTTATACAAAATGTGGCTTATTGATTGTTGGACTTCACTAACCGCAGCACTAGTCCTCGTCACATTTTTTTTTTATAGCAAAGAGGCAAACGAGCATGCGGCTCACCTGATGGTAAATGACTACTGCCACCCATAAACAACTGCAACACCAAGGGAATGCAGATGCGTTGCCGGCCTTTTAAAAAAGTGTAGGCTCTTTTCTTGAAGGTCTCTAAGGCTCTTCGCACAATCGTGAATAAAAAAAACTTCGCGAATTCGTGAAACTGGGCGACGCGTTGCCTTGTCTATATAATCATTCATTAAGTGAATATTCAAGGAATGATGTAACGGATAAAGCTTGGGCAGAAATATTGTCATAAATATCGCTTTCTACTTCTTACATGATCAAACAATAAAAAATCCTCTTCTTCTGACAAAGAAAGTAAGATAATCTATCAGTTCACCCAACACATCAGGTACCGTTGACGCCATGATTTCAATTGAGATCTTACAAAACGATACGTCTACTCTACGATTCGTTTGCAGAACACTGCAGGTCTCGTACGCGTTGCGTCGTAACGATACGCTTACGATACGACTACGCTTACGACTCGTCTCCGAAGAGCCTAAGTCGTATCGGTCCGGAGAAATCGCTGGTAGTAGTCGATTCTACAAGGAAGTTGTGCGAGGAAGAAAACTTCTTCTAAATCGTATAGTGGTGGACCGCCAATCATCCAGATGGTATGGATGGTACGCGAGTTTTGTCGCGATATGTGATGGCGAGTTTGAGCGCCTGGAATTAGTCCGAACAATTCCTCAGAACACTCCCTGTGGTAGATGCGATAAAATACGCAAAGAGGTGGAACATCTCTTCACAGTGCTAGTGAGTCAAGACGATCGGAAAGAACTCGGTCGTTGAAGATTAGAGCTGCACTGCGCTGGATGCGGTCAAGTGGAATGAGCTGGCACTGGGGAGCCTCTGCCCAGAGATGGGAACAGTATTCAATCTGGGGCCGAACCTGCGACTTGTAAAGTTGCAAGCTCAGCATGCTACGCTTTTTAGAGGCTAATTTGACCTTCTCTTCCAAATGACCACGAAACTTCACATCATTCTATATGTCGACACTGAGGATTCCGATACTGGCTGAGGCAACAAGGGGAGTGCCTTGAAACTGAGGAGATACGACGAAGGGGTTCTTTTTAGCGGTAAACTAGCAAACTTGTGTCTGCTAGGGATTTAACTGGACTTTTTTTTTATAGAAGAGGGGGTAAACGATGATGCGGTTCACCTGATGGTAAGTGACTACCGCCGCCCATGAACAACCGCAACAGCAGGGGAATTGCAGATGCGTTGCCGGCTTTTTAGAAAGGTGTAAGCTCTTTTCTTGAAGGTCCCTAAGTAGTATCTTTAGTTTTACACGTGGTAGAGCCATGCTGACATGCCCTTGCTGTCTACCATGTGTAACACCTATCTAGTAACTTTAGCTAGGAACCCATTTCAGAACTATATCCAGACACTCTGAGATGAGGTACTTTCCTAGGAAAGGGACTTGTGCCTCACATATATGTATTGATGTTTCTTAAAACCTTGTACGGACTAAGTGTTCCAATGTACGCGTAGTCGGTTACGCGTACACAGGAACGTTAGTCCGTAGCGTGCCGACTCGCGGCGAGTCGTCGCCATTCGACTTGGTTGCGAGTCTAAGCGAATGTGAATGCTCAATTTGAAGTTAACACCGCAATGCATAAAGGTGCCATGTACGCGTATCCACTATCAACCTGTACGCGTATTTAACATTACCTAGATTACGCGTACATTGGAACGCTTAGCCCGTACAAGGCTAGCTTTCCCATTGGCCACATTTATGCATTGCGGGATTATGAACGCGTTGTGACAAGTCGCAAGTCGGCAAGCCAGTATCCACCATGTCTCGAAACACAGCTGTCGTGTGCACCACCACTGCGGCACTTCTCATTGTGCAAACGAAAACCGACTAGCGACGACTCGCCGCCAGTCGTCACGCGTGCTCAAATTGTATACGCGTTGCTGCAGGTACGGACTAGCGTTCCTGTGTACGCGCGTACATTGGAACGCTTAGTTCGTACAAGGCTTTATTATTAATATTTGTTTTAGGTGACAGGTTTGGTTCCAGAGAAACTGGTTGACGAATATTTGAAGGTTAAGAACTATAATGAATTAGAACAGTTTGTTGCAAAGTAAGTATCATAATACATTAGACTATTGAACTCTGGTGTAAATTATGTATGACTAAATGATTAATGGAATAGTAATGATTTTGTGTACACATTAAAACGTATAGCCATGGTAGCTCTGGGGCTCTGGGGCTCTGGGGCTGGGCATTCGTCCTCAACTAAAAAAGCGAGTTGACGACTTTGATTCTTATGGCGTTTACGGCATTTATTTATTTATTTCGGAGACATGGTACAATAAGTTGTTGCATTATAATTTTTAGGATCATTTACATGTCTTACCGGTATCGGCGTAGAAATAGCACAATAATTAGTTTTTAGTTTTTTTTTAAATGTCCTTATAAAGATATGATGTCAATAAATAGTATTATGTTAATCTTAATAATCTTAAGTGCTAATATTGTTAATAATAATATAAGCACTTATTTTTTTTTTTATAAGATAAGGGTGACAAACGAGCACACAGTCCACCTGATGGTAAGTGGTTGCTGCGGCCCATAGACATCTACATCTATCCTCGTTTGCGAATCAAAATGCAGATGCGTTGTCACCCGTGAGGACTAAGATGGAATGCCTCATTTCCAGTAAAAAGGGCCTCCGGTCACCTGCACTCACCAAGCGAAACGCAGAGGTAAATCTCTACTTCACGCTGGTATTCTGTGAGGTCGTGGTACCACCCCGGTTCGAGCCGGCCCATCCGTGCGACAGCAAAAGTTGCCGCGTGGCTCTACCACTGTTTATTAACAATTAATAATAAAGTTTCAATTATTATGAATAGTAATTAATAAATAATAATACATTTGAAATTCGAAAACATTGACATTTTTGATCTTCAAAGGCGTATTTTTATTAAATAATATATCCATTTCTATTGTAACTTGTTCAAGCTTGTGCTGGCACTACGGAAATTGTTACTAAACTTTATTGAAATGGAATTTTATATGGCGTTTTATCACACGGTCGTGGGTGAAGGTAAACATCTCATGTATGGGAGCTAAACAAAGTTCGAGAAAGATACTGAAGCAGGACAGTGATGATATCTTTCTTATTCTATATTCTTTCCTGAAACTATGTGAGACATTTGTCCAGCTGTGTGACACTTATATTTATGCAGTTACTTTGATATTATTACAAATGTTAGTGTCTATTATCCATATATGAATATATTGTATATACATATATGTATCCGTAGTGATTATATACTCTTTGTATGTATCCATCAGGAGCCATAATCTCTCTAAACATTTCTAGTTTGTTATAATATGGCTGGCTTAAATAAGTTGCCATTAAATGTTTTAATTATGAATATAGTGTTTGTTTATTAAGATTAGGATGAAAGAAAACTCACTTAGGTATAACAATATTGGTTCAAAGGGTCAGCTTATACCGAGACGCGACGCGACTCGCTCTTTTTAAGATAGTGATACAAAATATAATTTTAGTTACTACACAAAAAGATACATACTTTATTGAAATAATTCGAAAATGCCTCGCGGCGAAGATTGACGCATCAGCGTGCAAAAGCAATGCGCTGCCAGCGACTTCATAATGCGCCTCGCGACGTCGCGATACGCGCTGCGCGGTGTGAAACCACTAGCCTCTTCAAGCATCGTCGCGTCGCATCTCGGTGTGAACTGACTCTAAGCTCTACAAATATATTATAATTGCTTGAATTTTAAAATAATGGTATTTTAAAAATGGTAATTATATTTTTAAACATTTCATCAATAATAACTTGATTTTTTTACAGATTCTTAATGGACGCGTACTCAGCTTCGCAACTTCTGGAGCAACTGAGCGCGACAGTAGTCAATGCGGGGCATTTGACCAACAAGCAGAAATGCGACATCAGTGAGAAAGTTGCTGTTTGCTCTCATCGGCTGCTCGACGGCGGTTCTGAGTTCATGCAACTTACTGATCTAGGGTGTACGATAATTATGGCCAATAACAACCCTTGATTTCAAAAATTTCTAAAAGGATATTGTGATGACAATACATGGCCTGTCGGAAGCAGTAATTTTGTTTTTATTGTATTATGCCTCATAAAAGATTTAAGATTAAATTTAGATCACAAGTTAAAGAATCATTGCTTACTATCACATTTTTATTTTCTTAAGATATAACTATGGTTGGAGTGTTTTGTTTGATTTTTGTTTGTACTTTTAATGTATGTAGTAGCTAGAAAAACCATCTGAAGTAGTATTTGCAAGTTTTCTCATCCTTTTACCTTGTTCATAGATTTGTTACTTATTTTTTATTTAAATATTTGCATTAAAATCAATATGTATTCATTTAGATTAACAAGACTTTGATTTATGAGAACATTTGCAAGCAAAATTATTGTTTCAGTAACCTTTTCGAAAAACCTTAAATCCTGCCTACCTTACTATGTTTACAAATGAGTTAATCTTCCATCCACCAGAATCCGGGTTTGAAGAGGCAATTGAATCATCACATCCCGAAGCAGACATTCAGCTCCTGTCTAGTTTTATTAAAAAACTATGCTGTTACATACACTATAATGGTGTCAGCTTCATTGTTAACACGTCACTGTACTGAGATATTTGTATAATATTGCAATAAAATAAGTCCACACCCAGAACGGCAAAAGTGGTTCGTTTACTCTTTGTATTTATGGAGTGGGTTCCAGTTGCGGTCAGTTACCACCAGCCACTGATCTAAGACAAACCGCTAAGCATTTTTCAAACCGTCTTCTTGGTATGTTGCTTAATGTAGCCATCTAAATAAAGAGTCTGAACAGTTGTATTACATAAGGCAACCGGTTGCGGAGCCTCATTTTGACTTTGTTGACTGCCTTGTTATGGAGGTTAGCATACCCCGCTATCTGTAGGTCGTAGTTTTTTTTATAGGATAAGGTTGAAAAACGAGCACACAGTCCACCTGATGGTAAGTGGTTGCTGTGGCCCATAGACATCTATCTTCAATTAAGAATCAAAATGCAGATGCGTTGTCACCCGTGAGGACTAAGATGGAATGCCTCGTTTCCAGTAAAAAGGGTCTCCGGTTCTCTACACTCACCATACGAAACACAGCAGCGTTAAGCTGCTATTTTACGCTGGTGTTCTGTGAGAGCGTGGTCTTTCCCCGGTCGAACCGACCTATTCGTGCTACAACCATAATATAGCTGCAGCATGGCTCTACCACGTAAAATCAGTATTGTCACTGTACCTACTTCACGACCCCGATAATTCTGGCCCCATAGTACCTAATGGCTACCGAATAAGGAATGTCGATCTCTATGGAGGTTAGGGTGTTTCTGCAGTATTCAATCAATGAACTCATTTTACTTGTTTAGAATATACATTAAAGGAAAAGAAAAAAAAGCGGCTTTTTACAGCGGTTACAATTCCTCTTCTTTAAATCTCTCCCTCTCTCTCTCTCACTCTCTGACAACCTAAGCCTATATTTTCTTAAGCTCAGTTCGGCCCACTCATTGTGTTATCTTCACGCACAATCCCTGACGGGGTAGCCAGAGAGAACAGATCGCCAAGTGTCACGATCCTTACATACCTCTTTCGCTTCTTTCAGATTCATTATCTTCTTCATACATGCACGTCTAGGTATCCGAGTACTCTTGACCCTCCCCTCTTCGAGCAATTTGCTCACATGGTTTTCGAAAGTTAGTCTCGGTCTACCTCGACACCTTTCGCGCTATATATTTTCTTCACCATTCGGTCTTCACTCGTTCGCTCAACGTGCCCAAACCGTCGAAGCACGCCCTTATCAATTTTTGTGATAAGGTCATCTTTCAAACCTGCCATATTGCGAACCTCTTCGTTTCGGTCGGCCATGGTAACGCCGCACATTTTATGAAGAGATCGCATCTCCACTGCATTCATCGTGCTTTTATGCTTCTTCTGGCATACCCAGGTTTCGCTGCCATATAACAAAGTCGGTACCAACACTGCGTTATGTATTGCAAGGCGTGCACTCTTCACTATGCCTTGCCTTTTGACTAACGCAGTCAGGGCACCATTGACTTTGTTCCCGGCAGCGACACGCCTGTCCACATCTAAATCACATCTTCCATTCCGGCTAAAAGCACTCCCCAAATATACAATTTCATTTACCTGTTCTAGACATTCCTGATTTACCCATATTTCACACTTCGTTCTCTCTTCGTCCCTTTCAAATACCAAAACCTTTATTAGCATTCAAACGGAGACCTTTAATTTCACATTCCTCTTTCATACACGTGACTAATGCCTGCAGTTCTACCTCTAATGGTGCAATAAGCACTGCATCATCAGCATACAGCAGACAATTTACTTTAATGTCACCCAATTTCACACCCAAACAGCTATCTTTCAGCTTCTGTAAACAGCTCTCGAGATACAGTATGAACAGCCAGGAAGACATGACACAACCCTGTTTTACGCCCGTTTGGACGCCAAACATGGGTGACAGGTCATGCCCTACCCGCACACAGGCTTTACAGTCACAGTAAATTATTAGTCTAGACTTAATTTTGTCTAGTGCGCAGTGCGGTTGTCATCATCATCATCATTACAGCCCTTCACAAGTCCACTGCTGAACATAGGCCTCCCCCAAAGAATGCCACAAAGCACGGTCCTGCACCACCTGCATCCATCGACTTCCTGCATGTCTTACCAGGTCGTCACTCCATCTCGTGGGGGGACGCCCTACACTTCGCCTACCGGTACGAGGCTGCCACTCTAGAACCTTTCTTCCCCATCGGTTGTCGGTTCTTCGAGCTATATGGCCGGCCCACTGCCACTTCAGCTTACTAATCCGTTGGGCTATGTCGGTTACTCTGGTTCTACTGCGGATATCCTTATTCCTAAGTTTATCACGCAGAGAAACTCCGAGCATAGCCCTCTCCATAGCTCGCTGAGCGACCTTTAGCTTCCTCATACGGCCAGCAGTGAAGGACCACGTCTCAGTTCCGTAAGTCATCACTGGCAACACGCACTGGTTGTACAATTTCGTTTTCAGGTTTTGAGGTATGTCTGACGAGAAGATGTGTCGTAGCTTCCCGAACGCTGCCCAGCCGAGTTGAATCCGTCGATTGACCTCTCGGTCGAAGTTGGACTTACCTAGTCGGACTATTTGTCCCAGGTAAACATACTCGTCAACAACTTCGAGCTTAGTGCTCCCAACAACTACCGGCATAGGTGTGACATGGACATTGAACATGATCTTTGTTTTGTCCATGTTCATCTTAAGACCTATCCGTTGGGAAACACTATCGAGGTCATTGAGCATAGTGCTTAGGTCCTCCAGCGATTCTGCCATAAGGACTATATCGTCGGCAAATCGAAGGTGAGTGAAGTGCGGTTGTAACTAGTTTTATTGTACGCATTGTAGTATTAATGTTTCTTTCTTAAATATTAGTTCCTTGCATATGAAATTAGCGTTTTGTCGTACTGACCACTTTAATCCGAAATATCTCCTCTTTGGTTAAGAATTCCAAATTCAAATTTCATTCATTTAGCTGGTACATTTGAGTTTTGAAAACAGTCATTCATTTGTGTTTTCCTCATTATTTTTTTCTTTGGCGTCGCTTATTATCGCACAATGGAAAACATGAAATATCGGTATATTTACGAGTACGAGTTCTACCGTGGCACCAGTGCTGCAGAAACAGCTCGAAAGACTAATGATGTGTGGCGCTGGTGTCTCAAATGAAAACACGGTACGTTTTTGGTTTCAACGTTTTCGTTCTGGAAATTTCGACTAGTGCCGCGTGGACTTATACTTTGGTACAGGGGAACGCCCAGAGGCGGATTAAATCCCGACAGTGCCCTGGGCTAGCACCACATTCGCGTCCCTGTGGCGGCTATATATTATAAATTATAACTACGTATTTTACAAATAAGGTGTCCACCACCTGCTCGAGACGGTTAAACCGACTTTACTCTTTCTCCACGAGACGCGGATCTCACTAACATCTTTTTTTTTACCAGATCTCAAACTGGAATACTCCTTTCTACCTCGGGCCGTAGTTTGTGTACTAGTCAGAGAGTATCTGTTTTCGACGCCTCGGTAGTCTTGAAGACGTGTCTATCCTATGGCTACGCATAGACGGCGACGACCACGAGCGTCTATGGGTGACTTTACAGGTCCCACAGCGGTAATGCCGAGACAGACTGACTCATCGACCACGTCCAAATGGCTACAGGCTACAGATTCTGTGCTACAACAGATCCCATCCACGGAGATCGTGCTCCTTGGAGATATGTTTACGACTGCCGTGGTATATAACTGGTCAGTTCGTCCACGCGGATTCCAAATGTGTAGGATCATGCACCTTCCCTGTTAGATTTTTTGCTGACCTCTCATCCGAACGAAGATCAGATCTCCGTCGATGCCTTCTTGGCTCTTCGGATCACTGCCTGATCCTGAGTACGGTGCCCATCACTTGCTCCTAGCAGGCGCGATCTGTAGGCTGTGGCCGTGTGTGGCACTATAGGTCAGCGAATTGAGATCATCTGTAGTGCATATCGGCGGCAGATCCCACCCTTGGTTTGGTCGCTCCTGCAAAATTGCTTTGCGGCAAAAGCATGAGTGATACAATGCTTCGGCCGACGCATCGTCGTCCCGGGAAGCTCGTAGCGCCACTAGCGCACTTAAAAAGAAGTACAACTCTGTTTCCAGATCCTTCTAAAAAGTTAGGGAAAAGTCTGAGCCCATTGAGAGAATTGGCGAGAAAATAGTTCGCCTTTTTTCGGGAACTAGTGCATTCTGGTCTCACGTCAAGGCTGCCTATGAGAATTTCTGTAAGCCATCATTACCATCTCTGCGCAGGGAGGATGACTCGCTGATCCACGCCGCAAAGGAGAAAGCCAATCTTTTAAGTTCCCTTTTTGCGTCCAACTCGACTCTCGACGACAGGGGGGAATCTACCGCCTACCATTACGCTCCAAGCAGATGTTCGGTTCACACAATGATCAGTGCGTAAAGCCCTGATCACACT